TCCGTCAGCGTCGGTTCACTGTCTGGTCACTCTCTGAACTCTGTCGGATCACATTCGGTATAATCGGGATGCTGTCGGGACATATTATGTCGTTCTTTACCATGTGAGAGATACAAATCGGATTAATACTGATTTAAAACCGTATAATCGGGACAAATTCGGCTGGAAACGGCCGAACTTGGACGCTTTCTGAACAATATCTGATTGTTATGATTCAATATATGTTTTTACAAATTTTAATTAAAGTTTCAATTTCCATCCCCGATTCACAGAATCTTGATCAGACGTTTGACGTAATCGGGAATGGTTCTGTCAAGGACGGCATTAAAAATCGTGAACGTGTGACCCCAACTTAAGGCCGTTAGTTTTCTCGTTTGAACTGTTTTATATTTGTCGTTTCGGGGCAACGTGTAACTTATTATGCACTATTGGTTTTGCTCATTGTTGAAGGCCTTACGGTAACCTATAGTTGTAACTTCTACGTCATTTTGGCATCTGTTTCAAACCATATCTTCTTATTTTCATATCGTAAATCGAAATCAGTCAAAATAAACTGTATCAACCAAATCATGAATGACTGTATAAGTTTTATACATATACGGTCAAAGTGTATGAACACATATGTAGTACATGGATGGAAAATAGTTAAATTTAGGCAGCTTAAGAAACGTTTAAAGGAAATGGCGCCTTTGTTTGTTTATTGTCAATAGGTTTAACAAAAATTCCAGAAGAACATAGGCATGAGAGAGATGGTAAAGTTTGTTAAATAGTTAAATGATTAGGAACACGTTTTCCTTCATTGACAAATTCATCATTAACTAATAAATAAGATTATAAATGAGATTAATGCCTCGTTCACACGTACATTTAATTCGAATTGAATTCGAATCGAATGCGAATCGAATTCGCTAATCGCGTTCACACACTCTTCTTTTTTAATTCGAATTGATTCGAATTGGCTAAATCGCATTATCCAATTCGCATTAGAAATGCGTTTTTGTTAATACGAATTAAAAGTTAACGTCGTTAGGACAGTGAAGCGAATTTGACGTGCATTGCAATTCGCATTAGAATTTACGTTTGGACGTTAAACGTTTCGAATGCGAATTAAACTAATTCGAATTAGTTAATGCGAATCGAATTCGAATTACGTGTGAACGCAGCATAAGTTCAGACATGTAGTTAGTATTAAGGAACAGTGTTTTGATACGTCTTACTTGACACGTATGGTTTGTTTTTTTTTGCATTCAACTTCAGATCGAGATACTGAGTAGTAACTATATTATGTTTTTAATTTTCAGCTGGAAATATTTAGATTAGCATTTATCTAATCTTTCTAAATCTATTGAAACTTCTTATTGGATGGTGTTAAAACTCTATTTTACGTTATTTTGTATTGTGTTGTTTGATTTGTTGGTCTGCAGTCGAATTAATATTTTATCTTCAAATCATTCTATGATTTCATTGATCAATTATTATTATTAATTTATTCACTATAGCTATGCTTTATACGTGTATTTGAATATTTTATGTTATTCTAGTGGCGATACTTTTTTTTTATTTAATCTGAATCTGCAAACTGTATAAAAACTTATAAACATTGTGTGTGGACAAATTATTACTTTGAAAAATGCACGGTATTTACATTTCAAATAAAACCCTACGAGTCATGTTATGCAATTCATGTATACCTTCAAATCTAATTTCTTTCAATCTTTTCCAATGTAGATTATTATGCTATTCTATAAAACTGCACTAGCAGTAAGCCTGGAACTGTGTCACTGGTTATTTATATATTTTGTTAAATTATCAGGAAGTACATCTCTCCCAGCAGGTGCCCTTAGATAAGATTACCAACAAACACAGATGTGAACCGAAGAAAATTGTATTCCAAATTATTTACATTTCACATTATAAATTGTAATATGATTCATATCATGTGACTATTTCTGCAAAGGTTACTTAGTAATGTATTTAACGCCTTCAAATGTTTACTCCATTGTGTTGCAGAACCACAAATATGCATATGAAGGACGAGTAAGATATGGGTCCCTTGTTCATACGCATTCGTCTTTTTTTTTTCCTTCTTGTTGGAACACTTTTCTAATATTGTGTTTTTTTTTTATTTTTGTCTTAAATGACTGCGAATTATCAAATTCTCTAACTTAAATTCTAATGAATGAAATCAAAATATGAAAATCATTTTAATTTAATATACTCGTTACCAAAGTATCTGATCCAAATGATGCCATGCTCTACTCGTAGTCGACAGAAAACGACCCCCTACAATAACAGTACTGATTATCTCAGATCTTGTTCTGATTTTTTTTTAATTTTAATTAGCTTGAAATATCACTTTGACTAAGATAATCTATTTTGCGTGGTCAGAAGTCATCAATACGTGATATCCTGAGGTGGGATTGCCGTGAGGAGACTTTATGACCTTACTTATGCTCTGTTTTTAACTGATGTAACTGTTTTGAATCAATACTTTTCAGTTTTATCTTGCTTTAACTTAAGCATTTGTATACAATCACTTCTTTCATATAGAAATATCTGACAAATGTACGTAGAAATATGAACATAATACGCATTTAAATGTACAAATAGTTTGACATTCAACTGGAACCATGGTGAACAAATTGTCATCGATCAATTTATGCTGAGTAGTTTCTTTCCAAATAACAATAGGTTATTTGCCAAATGTGTTTTATCTCCATGAGCATGTGCAATTAAAAAAGATTAAAGGTATAAATATTCTTTGTTACAATTAATTCACCTCAACTCAGAATTCTACGTATATATAACATATTATGGACATTTTGCTGTTTGTTTTTAAGCTTTTAGTAAATTTATTTTCTTTATCAGATAGCCAATGTCCATCATTTGGACATTAATAATTTGCTATGATGCAAAGAATTACTTTTCAGCTTTGTAGATTGTTAATGTTGTAATGTCAGATCCGCATCAATCGCATAAATGTCTATGCTTATTTGTACACAGGCTATTGACAGAACGCAATAATTATTGTCATAGTTATCAGTTTTTGTAAGGATTTCGATTGTTTGTTTATCTCCCGTTGTTAGATTTTTAAACATATTTTACAGTGTTTTTTTTAGAAATATTTTTCTGTGATTTCGCATGATTTTACGGTCTTTAATTTGTTTACATAATAAATAAACTGTAAATAAATTCGCAATTGACCTCCACATGCATGATTTGCTATGTCGGAGACTGATTAAATAGTAATAAATATAATGATTCTTTCTAGTGCATTACACCAGATTTTAAATAATCTTTAGTCAAGTTTGATTTATCTAGAGTTACTCCTTGTGTATAATAAAACCCATAGTTCGAACACAATTTAATAAATTCCTAAATTGTTATACAAATTTATATTTTAAATGTTAACTTTTTATAATAATGAGTTGTCTTCCTTTCGACGTCGTTTAAGACAAAAGTTGTTATCTCCCATGTCCATTTTGACACTAGGCGTCTAAGAAAGACAACTCCACTTTGATCCAATATATCAATAAAATTATGAAATTTCATAATATTATGGTATTTCCTATTTGCCTCGACTGTTTAGGATGATATATGATTTTGGATTTACTTTTAGAGAATATGTTTTAAATATATTGAGTAAAAAAGATGATACTAAATTACATGAAATTAAACCTAAGTTAGGTAAACCTTGTGCAGAATAGATCAGTGTTATTTCTAGATGTCGTATTGGCCATACTAGAATTACACACGAGAATCTTCTTCAAATGAAGACGAACCACAATGTATACCTTGCAAATGCAAGTATACTATTAAACATGTTATAATTAATTGTATTGACTTTGCATATATTCGTAGGAAGCATTTCAATGTCAACAGTATGTATGATTTATTTAATAGTGTTTCAATTACAAATATTGTTTCATTCTAAAAAGAAGTTGGAATATATTATAAAATAATTTAATTTTCGATGTAACGCGTCTTCTGATTGGCTGACGTTGTTTTGTTTATCAGCTCATAGACATAATTTTGTCATGTGACCGTGACGTCATCAACGTTTTTTCATGGTTTACTCCGGTTAAAAATAGAATTTAGAATTAAATTATAAGAAATGACTGTAATATTTTTTCTGTCTATTCAAAATAACATAAAAAATGTGGTGCACACTTTAAAATAACCCGCTACGCGGGTTATTCAGTGTGAACCACATTTTTTATGTTATTTCCTCATAGACAGAAAAAATATCACAGTCATTCCTTAAATATAAAAATGTTTTAAAAATTTAAAAGAATTTTTATTTTTATCACGTTATAATATTAGTATTGATTTTTATTTGTTAATAAAAAAAATGCTTAAGACTGGATTTAAGATATACTTTAAACTGAGAAATATTTGAATTAGCTCTCGCCGCGATTTAGCCTTTTTGTGCTCATGCGGCGTAAAGCAAACACTTATCAATCAATCTTACAATTTAAACTTTTCAAACTCTTTTACAGTCTCAGTTTTCTTAACGTACAGAAATTATTTAAGTAACCTTTGTGTATACATGTTTACTCCCAACAGCGGTTGTAGGCATAATTGTACTCAAAGTAATTAGTATTACAATATAATATTTTAAAGTTATTTTATTCCTTTAAATCGAAAGCACATAAGGCGACAGCAAAACGTATCTTTATATTTAATTGTTGATAAAAAAAAACACAATTTTAAATGCCTTTAAAATGACATGTCAATAATTCTCGTTTATCATACATGATATGCAAATTTCTACATCCCTGTCTTGTAAAGCAGTTGTAAATCCTAAATCAAAGCAATACAATGTTTACCTAGCATGTTGAATATACTTTACGATCCTTATTGATACCAAAATAGTCACTAGACGATAGCTAATGGCATTCATTCTGTATGTACACCCCACATGCTTGTTAATAATTACATAACATTGATTTTTATTGATCATCTATCTGAATGAAAATTCCCAGGTTAAATATAGAAGATTCAATTTAGTCGATAGAATGTTATAAAAGGATGCGATCGACGTTATTATGCATTAAAAATAAACAAGTCTGTTACAATGATTATTGTTTTTACAAATATGTATACTTCATATATTACTGGTAAGTCTTTATTCTATATTTTCATAAATCACGATTGTGTTTGTGTAACCTGACTTTTTGCATCAAAGAACAAGGTGAAATAGGGGCGAAAGATACCAAAGGGACAGTCAAACTCGTGATCGAAAAAAAAAAACGAAAACGCATGACTGAAAAAGAAAAAAAAAACAGCCAAGGCTCCGTGTTGAAGACCGTACTGTGACCTATAATGGTTTACTTTTATAAATTTTGACTTGGATGGAGAGTTGTCTCATTGGCACTCATACCACATCTTCTTATATCTAAATAATAGTACACAAGACACAACATAGAAAACTAATGACTAAAAAACAAGAAACTATTAATGTTTTAAGTTTTTAAATATATTTTCAAATAAGACATCGATCGTTCATCACAGAAATGTCTATGGCGAATAAAGAAGAAACATGCAAAACTATTTTTTATGGCTTTAAATAAAATACTAAAACCATAACTCGCGGCTAATATTTTTTGTTTAACTAAAATGTTTTTATTGTTCCTAAAAACGCAAAATATTTTTTTATATATTTTATGAAACCTTCTCTAATTTAGATTTTCGAAGTTATCGCAATATTCAACCAGGAAAAATATAAACAATAAAGGGTCAGCATCTATTTAAAATTTACTTGAAGGTTTGAGTAGCTGCCACTAAAGATAATGAACATTTAACAGTCTGTTGAATTATGATTAAAATAAAAACTCTTCAAAGAAGAGAATTTTATACGCAAGTTATTTGCTTGGCAAACCTGGCTGAGTAAGGTAAACTTCAATTTTTATGCGAACATATTTTCCTCATCCCAGATTTTGCATGTGACTAGAAATACATAGATTCGTGGTCTTGTGGAATATAAGGATTAACGTTAATCATTGCATGCGTATCTGTTGTATCTATTTCAATCGCTTCAAAAGTGCACTCTAATTTGTTGTAATGATCATGATGATGTAACATTGGCCTTCAACATTTTTTTATCACAGCCATCATGTTTTTATAGTGTCGATTTATTATGTTCTATTTCTATAACGCCCAATTATCAAACTAAATAAACACTAAATTGTAATATAGCACCCTGTTAGTCTATTCCTAAATTTTATAGCCAATATTTCTCCTTTTTTATTTTTCTAAATTATTCTTCCTACATTAACATATTCTTCCTACTTTAACATATGTTTAAACCGGACTCAGATCTCATGCAGTTCATCTGGCAATTACTAACGTCGTAAATTCATCCAATTATACCCATAAAGTGAGTACCGAAAATGACAATTTCGTGTCTGATTTTTCATTTGATAATGACTTTTATGTGTTCATGGTAAATGGTATTCTTAAAACATAAATACTGCATTAATTAATTGATTATTTTGCACAAGAAGTCCTGATTTTACAAATAAGGGGCTGTGTGATCAGACAGCTTCCACCAAAAGCAAAATAACAACGGTAAAATCCACTCCACGCCTCCATTCGGCCTAATAAGAAAAGAAAGAATACATGTCGTAAAGAAATACTCAATGATAGACCCAGGATGACAAGATGAGAAATAATCCTAAGAAAACCAATTCTGATATGCATAAACATTCATAACAATTGTGCAATAAGAAATAAAGATGGTTATATATAGATAAGTGAAATAAGACTTATTCTTGCAGGACGCAAAGAACACAGGGTCCTATAACAGACTAGCAGACCTGGTGTAAGTATTTAAAATTAATCCTTACGTTAACTGTACTCATTCAATTGGGACATTATAAAACAACAACAAAGCAACGATTTGTATTCGGTAATCGGATCTACTTTACCTCAACTCAATTTCGGTCTTATTGCAAAGTCGTGAAAATCATTTAATGTTTTTCGCATGAAAAACTTCCAAAAATAAAATGGTCCTATTTGTTATATTTGTATTTGACTTCAACCTCAACAAGTATTAATTTCTTTGTTTAGAGGCAGTATCTGTTGTTTCTATCAAAGTTGTTATTTGGTTAATTAATACCTATTGTATACGGTTAATTATCACCTTGAAGCCTAGGATTTAGATAACATTTGTGTCGTTTTGTCCTGCGTTCACCTCAAACATTTATACAAGCATATTAATATGATCACCATGTTTTTTTCCCTCCGGTAGAAATATCAATTACATACTGGTTCGAATGTTTGATGTGTTGAAAAAAATAATACCCGGACCATTAGCATTAGGATTATAAAGTCAAAGACTCAAGTAAGTACTGAGTGTCATGCGCTTTGCAACAACTATTTAAGAGACATGAAGCGATATCAATTGTCTCATTACAACAAACTCCACTTCTCCTGTAGTATCGTAAATGTCCCCCTTGGGAATTTTCAAAACCCAATTTGATATGTGATATCCGTAAATATAATCAAGCTGAGACAAATCCCTGAAATAAAATCTAATTTTTCAACCGTTTATATTTCTATGGGTTTCGAGTCTTTTGAAATTAAATCTAAACCAGCTAGCTAAACCTTTTAATACTTTTATGTGCAGAAAAGATCAGTGTGTTATTTCTAGATGCCGTATTCATTGGTATTGGTCATACTAAAATAACACTTGACTATCTTCTTAAAAATGTAGAACAACCACAATGTATACTTTGCAACTGCAAGTATACCATTAAACATGATTAATTGTATTGACTTTGCTGATATTTGTAGGAAGCATTTCAATGTCAACATTGTCAACAATATGTATGATTTATTTAATAGTGTCCCAATTACAAATATTGTTTCATTCTTAAAAGAAGTTGGAACATATTTTAAAATATAAAGATGTCGTATAGATTTAAAATGATTTAATTTTTATCACGTTATGTAAGTGTTTGAATTTTTTTTTGTGAATAAACAATTTACTTTAGACTTGAATTTTAGTTTATTGAAGGACCTTTTGTCTGATTTTAATCTATACTGTAAATTGTAAAAATATGTGAATAAGCTCTGGTCGCGATATAAACTTTGTGTGCTCGTGCGGCGTAAAGCAGACTCCAATCAATAAACTAATACAAATAGGGCGATAACAAAACGTTTTATTTAATTGTAAATGAAAAATAATTGTAAACGCCTTGAATTTGATATCGACATTTACCAATAATTGATCGATAAATAAAGGACATGTTATGTCATTATACATGTTATGCACTATATGTATTAAAAGCAATGACGGCTGATATTTTTGAAACAGTTTAAACGTAAAAACTATTGAGGATATTTTCTTTTTCTTACGTCGTGTTTTTATAATAAAGAACAGATTTCTGAAAAGATGAGATGGCATTTTACCACAAAGTTGTATTAATATAATAATGAAAAAGGAAAATGCAATTGTAAAATTGAATCCTCGAAATAGTTTTAAAAATGTACTAACTTTGTTTTAAGTTTTATTCAATAATTGTTTCTCTTATACTTCATTTGTAATTTGTTAGTTTCTATTTTCTTTTATTATACATGATGTTTGATTCGGTATATTTCCACATCCCTGTCTTGTAAATAAAGGCAACAGTAGTATACCGCTGTTAGAAATTCATAAATCGATTGAGAAAAAACAAATCCGGGTTACAAACTAAAACTGAGGGAAACGCATCAAATATAAGAGGAGAACTACGACACAACAGAAAAAAACAGTTATACATTTTTAATAAAATCATTACAGTGTTTACATAGCAAGTCTAATAAATGTATCTATCCTTATTGATACCAAAGGAGTAAATCAATCTTAGCGTTGAATTTTATTTGTTAATAAACCATTTTGATTTAGACTTTAAGTTTTAGTATATTGAAGGACCTTTTGTCTGATTCTAGAAATATCATTTAATTTGTTGACATATTTGAATTAGCTATCTCGCGATATAGCGTTTTCCCGCTAAGGCGTCGTTAAGCAAATACCAACCAATCAATCAATCAACAGTTTATACCGATGAATCGAAGGTTGGAGACAGTTGATAATGTTCTTGTTGAAATAATTGTTCCATTTTTAACAGAAATTGGAATTTATTCCAAAATATGAATTTGTTGTATTTGTTAAAGATTTATTTTAGTTTTTATGATGATATCTTATTGATAATATTCTATTTGCAAATAAGTAATTTCTAGTTTGTAGTAAATTGAAAGACTTTTTGTCTAATATTTAAAAGGAACACGTTTTGTTATAATATTTAAAATAGCTCTCGCCGCGATAAAGCCTTTATGTGCTGATGTGGATTGAAGCAATTACCAATCAATCAATCCGGTAGTCTTATAAAACTCCAGCCTTTATAATGTCTGATCATTGCAGAGAAAATCATCTGTATTGATTTAATCATATTCTCCGTCTGTATGTGAATGGAATATTGCTAATTTAACGTTAAGAAACCAACAGTTAACCAATATTGCCTCGTTTGATGATGCCTGTATTAATTTGATTGCAAACGTAATATTTTATCTCACAATTGTCATCTTATTCTATTTTAGGTTCGATATGAACACAGTGGAATAAAGTCTCGATGTTGGACTTTAACACCATGCAAATCTTAGTTTTGTGGAGGAACGACGTTTAAATCATCGACTAAATACCTCCACGTTTCACAAGTGTCATCTTGACTTTGTCAAGGACTTGCTTGGTTTTTTTATTTCTATTTTTCAATTCATGCTCTTACGCTTATCTCATCATTCGAACTGTAGCAATTTAAAACGTTTAGTGTATTGCTTTTAAGATTTTTTTTGGAGAATTGATAATTTGTAACTTTAAATAGTGCATATTAGAACTCAAAGTTTTCTAAATACAAAATTAAACTTGATTATACTATTCTTCCAACGGCTAATTTCACTGAATAAAAAAATGTATCATTTACAGCAGTGTCATGTGTTTGCCGTTCTATTTCTAACTTAACACAGTAAATAGCTTCTGGTTTAGAAATGCTTTCTATGTTTTCGTATCAAAAGAGATCTCACGGTAGGAATCACAATGTAAAATGCCCCGATTTTAGATGGAACAACATGAATGTACTATACCAAATATAAAAAAAGATGTGGTATGATTGCCAATGAGACAACTCCCCACAAGAGACCAAATGACACAGAAATTATCAACTATAGGTCACCGTACGGCCTTCAACAATGAGCAAAACTATACCGCATAGTCAGCTATAAAAGGCCCTGAAATGACAATGTAAAACAATTCAAACGAGAAAACTACTGTTAACCAACTTATTTTCGCGGATACTTTATTTCGCGTTTTACCCTTTCTTGACCACTTCGCGGATATTTAATTTCGCGATTTTCTGATTAACTTGATGAAGTTTAATAAGGAAAATTCCAAGTTTTACATATTCGCGACGATTATAGTAACTAAAAAACTAACAAAAGTTCCTTTTTCGAATGTTCGTGTTGCTTGCCTTTCTTATTTAAAAAAACCAAATTCAACAAAAAAACGTAATTGACAAACAAAAGTAAATCAATTCAATGAACGTAAGAGTGAATATTTTCAAGAAGAATTATAAAAGATCAATTGAATTCCAAAAGGAAAACAAATGATACATATCTTGATGAGTGTTTTGTTTTCAACATATTGGGGTTCATATTACTGCAACATCTAGAAATACTTACCATAAAAAAAATGAAAAAAGTTTTTTTGTATAAGAAAAGGATGTGAGGTTTTTTTATTTGTTTGATATAAAGCAGCATTCACACAATTGTTTTTTTTTAATGATACATACAAACATATTCATGTTTGTCATAAACAATTATAACTAATCCACTTTGGTTCTTAAATATAGAGAAACATAAAGGTCAGATCAGCATTCAATATGAAGGTCAAGTAAATATATAGTTACTAAAGTGATAGGACTGTCAAAAAAGGTCACAAATGCCATAGATCTTGTCATCGGGATTAAAACAAGAATACACAAAAGCTTAGGGCTGCATCAAAGTATCAAGTAATTTAATGATACGTTTATGAAGATGGTGTAAAACTAGCAATGATACACCATTATTTTGTCCAAAAATGCATTGTTGATTTGGTAAACGCACTCACATAATGGTCATGGCATGTCATCGAGACTTGCTATTTTGAATACCAATTTTCACAAAAAGGCACGGTGCAATCTACAAGTTTTCAGCTGTTTAGATTAATGGTTTGTTTGTTCAGGATGTTATGAAGATTCGTTTTGTTTATCAACAGTTAAAGCTATTTAGTGTTGTTAAAAACGAAGGACGAAATATACATTTATAAACTTACATTTGTAAAATGATAACAGGTTATGCTAAACTTCATTTATACTTAAAAAATAAATATTTGAATAACATAACAAAAAATTCACGACGACCTTGTACTTGAATGAACGTACTTCTACTCAATATATTTACCTGAGAAAAGTTTACACAATTTCTTGTTTCTAGAATAATACGCGTACGTTATTAACCCATGATCTTCAAAATTTTTATAAAAAAAAAAATACCAAACATAAACATTTGTTTGTATTGTTTCAGCTGAACATTTAACATGTCAATTTCTGAACAGCCATCAATACAGAAATGTTGACAAAAATAGAAAATAAAAAAGTATCTATAATTACTTACCCTCAACCCAAATATTTTGTAAAGGATGAAACACAAGGAAAAACACAGAGATTGTTGAACTCTAAACAAAAATGTTAAATCAATCTTCGTAATATCGTAAAAAGGGATAATATTTAAATTTATGAATATGCAATTTTGCAAAACTGTGATAATTAATTAATGATAACGCGGAAAACGATAGGTATAATCCTTGAACAATTCAGTTATACTGTCAATAATGTCAATGCTATAACTCGGAAAGTCCATTGCCTGTTTTGAATTCCATAAACTATTTATAACTTACATTTAACAAGCTATTTTTAGAAGTGAACTTCTGATCGCTCGCTTAATATACCTCGACCTAAAGTGAAAAAGATACCATTTGAATGTCAAAGGGTACACATAGGTAGTTTTTTTCATTTGAATATATTTACTAAACTACCAACCCTTCCCTTTTTAAACTGGTATAATGATGTTTCCCCTGGGAAGAAGTATTTTCATTTAATGTAAATATTGAAAACAAAGCACACACGTATGTTTCAAATGCATTCTCCTTTTTCCTCAACACTTGGTGTCCGTCGTCGTTAATTTTAACAAAAACCTTCCCTTCTGAAACTACTTGGCAAAATTAAATCAAGCTTGGCCTAAATCATTCTTATATCTTGTTTTACAAATGTCTTTCATGACCCAGCCCATTAACCAATATAGCCGCAATGGTTACGTCTATCGGGTTTAGAGGTCTTTATTTCATCGAAGACTTTTAAAAAAGATAGGATGTTGCTAATATCTTTCAAACGCATGATTTGAACAAAATTTAACAACAAAAAGGTATCCGACTATGCAGGGTCCATGTCTATCCGACAACCATGGACAATTTGAATTTGTATTCTACATGCGAAGTAAGCCATGGATGCCACATGCGAACAATGAACCACACGATCAAATAAGTCGTGGCCAATTAGTCGATTATATTGACTGGCGTTCTATTTGTATCAATAAAATTGAAAGGATTTACAAACGAAGAGTTACAATGGCGAATATCTTTTTCCGTTGCAGACAGTTTACTGATTTTATATCTGTATAAAAATGTATATATATAAATGCGTTTTGTTTAAGTATTCGTTGTTGTTTGTGCTGTATTTAGACCCCTATACAACGAAATTTGTTTTACATGCCCACGTTTAAAAATTGCGGTTTTTATCCAACGCAATCATAGGTTTGAACGTTGTTTTCAATTTAGAATTGTATATATATATTTAAGGTAGATCATAGGTATATGTTTCCCGAGATGAAATTTTTTCATACTTAGCCAAAATGAAGATTTTACTATGTACTTTTCAAAACAATAATAAAAAGGATGCGTCACCTTGCTTTTTTTCAAGTTATGAGTCTTTGAAAATTGCCTAAATTTGCTTAGAATGATCATGAAAAAACACATTTTGTGCATACAAAGAAATCTATGAGATAGAACTTTGAAATAAATTTTGAGAAGATAGGGTTTATAATATGTTGGTGTCACCGAACTTATTTTCTTGCTACAAGTAAAAATTCAAAATTTCCCTATCAGTCCAGTATTTCTTTTTTGCTAAAAGAATTATCTCCCCTTAAATTGTTTAGTTAAAACATTTTTATTATAAAACACAAATGTTTGGTATTTGTTTAAATATTTTGAATAATGCAATAAATCAGCAAGTTTCCTTCAAATTAATAAACAGTCTAACCAATAAAATTGCACATCTGTCTACAAATTTGCAGATTTGGGCAAATAACTAGACTGATTGTGTACTGCGACAGTACAATCCAAGATTGCGGTAAACCATGAATCTACCTGAAGTCTAAATTGAAAACAATTTTCAAATCTATGATTGCGTTGGATAAAAACTGCAATTTTTATACGTGTGTATGTTACAAATTTCGTTGTAGAGGGGTCTAAATACAACACAAAACAACATTTTACAAAAGACCGAAAAAGTACTAGTGACTTAATATATTTTAACAAAACGCAATTGACTAACAGGTCGAACAATTGATGTTCTTAAACCGTGCTGACTGCCATTGACGATTGCCATATAAATTGATCACAAGATGAAACAAAATGGATCTCTATATTTATTTAATACCAAGTAAAAAACAATAAACTGGCGGCAAAGATGTACATATATATGTATATATATATATAAAACGTGCCTAGAAAATTAACCTTATAATGTTATCTTCCAACGTAGCCTACTGTGCTATTTTCCAATGAAACTTATTTTTGGATCTATAAGGGTCGAAAGATATCATAAGGACATTCAAACTCATAGATCGAAAATTAACTGACAACGCCATGGTAAAACAAGAAAAAGACTTAACAGACAAATAATAGTTCACAAGATAGAAAACTAAAGACTAAGCAACACAAACCCCAACAAAAACTGGGTGTGTTCTCAGGTGCTCCGGAAGGGTATTCATATCCTCCTCCACATGTGGCACCCATCGTGTTGCTCATGTTAGAACAAACCCGGTAAATAGTCATTATTTTTTTTTCTTGAAAACAGTTTTGTTAATTAGCGCCAATACTAACAAAAATCCATTACGACATCCTCTTCAATAGTCTAGACATGGACCTGGAATATTACATATCAGTTCATCAAGATTCAATCCTGTACCCTATCTGTAAATTATAACATATCGAATGGTACAACAGTATAGTAGGATGAAAATCTTTTAACGGTGCTGGTGAAAATTATTGATGCACTTTGTATTTTCTAAAGACCTCGGGAGTGGATTGGGCATTGCTTGCCTCAAACGCGTAAGTGTTTGATTTAAGATATAAAGTGGGGTGCTCATTTTCGCCATAACTTTCCATGTTTTCTGCAGTTTATATTCAGGTCTTTATGTTTTTGAAGTATACTGATATTTCTATATGAAAATAACATCAAAAACAAAATATTCTTAGCTTGAAAATGAGATTCTTTGAAAAAAATCATCTGAAAAATTAGATTAAAGGCTATTTGAAACTTTCTGATGTTTTGTCAAAGGGGGACACATATTCGCCGTTTTTACACATCTATTTAAAACCAAATAACTGCAGCTTTAAACAACATTTATCAAACCAATTTCATTATAGATGAATAGCAGACATTTCAAAGGTGTAAAGAATTGAAATTTAGGGCAATCAGTCAAAGAATTACTAAGAAATACTTCTTTGAAATCATTTTTTTATTCAGGAAATTGGCCGAAAATCGTTGTCTGTTTTACGGTCCTTCGCGGTAAGTGCCGAAATTTTTTTCAAGTTTAAAAAATAATCAT